GTATAGCATCCATTATTTTTCCTTCTATTTCAAATAACTTAAAAAATTTACAAGTCAAATTAGAAGAAGATAATTTGTAATCTCTATTGTTAAATAAAAATTTCCACAATGAAGGATAATCTACTCTTTTTAAGGAAAAAGTCATTGTTTTAAAACTAAACATTTTCTTTTATATAAGAAAATATTTGAGTAAATATGTATATCTACAACATGCTCTTGCATACAAATCTTTGAATACATATATTTATTTTAGCCAAGCTAGTACTTTGGCTCCATCTTGATGGCAAGTGTTCTACAAGAATTTGATGTGATTGGACGGCAAGAACCAATCTTAAACTTAAATAGCCTTTGTAAGTACTATAAAGGATTTTTTTTTTTCTTTTATCAAGATTAATTTGTTATATAACATTGATTTGTTTCATTGGTGCTTGATAAAATTTTAATCTCTCCTCAATATCCACATACTCTAGCAAGGGAGAGATGATACCAATTTTGCCCACATTGCACAACTTTTATTATAGAGATAGATGCATACAAGTTGAGTATTGTATTATCTCCACTTGAAATGCCTTCTAATAAAATCTATACCATGTAGCTGTTGTTGTATAATATGAATTCTTGCTTAAAAATGCACTAAAAACCTAGCTGTGGAAGATAAATAAAAAATGTAATAACAAGATCCTACCAAATCTAATAGAATCTTAAATAAATTCCAAGTAAACCTTAACAACCTTAATCAAACTTAAATCAGTTCAAAAGAAATTTAAAAGGAATTACAAAAGAAACATAAAGAACTCATAAATTAATATCAAAAAAAAAAAAATTAAAGAAATATAAAATAAAAACCTTAAAGAAATTAAAATAATATTTAAATATTAAAAAAATAAATATATAAAGAAATAAAAAAGATCTTAAAGAAGTATTAAAAATAAAAATCCTAAATAAATTATAAGAAACTCTAGATAAATCTTAATCAAACCATAATAAAATCTTAATAAAATCTTAATCAAATTTTAAATCCTAGATCAAATTTCAATAAAATTTTAATCAAATCTTAATAAAATCCTAATCAAATCTTAATCAATTACTATAAGTATTTTGAAACCTCAATAAATATTAATTGAACTATTGATCTTGACTAATTTTTTTTTTAACATCTCAATCTACAAGTAATTAATAAACATAAAAATTTTGAGGAAAATAAATACACAAATTCAAAAGAAAAAATTCCTAAACTGCTCGGATGTCAACCATCTTTCTTCTCTGATTTGGATGTTGATATTCTAATAGCAATTTTTCCTTACTGAGATGTTAAATTTCTTCAAACATTTATTGATGTATAGAATTCTAAGTCCAAATAGTTGTCACCAATTTTTGCTTCAATTAAACTAATAGATGTTGCAATATTGCAAAAATCCTAACTTTCTTAAATTTCAATTATCTAAGACTATAATCTACAAAATTCGTATAACCATCAATCTAATTATTTAATTAATATCAAATTTTATAAATATATTCAAGAAAAATATAATAATAGACTGACAAAATTTTACTTGTAAATATACTATGACAGTCACAAATTTTTCAAAATTGTGATTTTTTAATTTTTAATTTTTTTTTTTTAAATCCAAATCCATTGAATATATGTTTTATTTTTAAAAAATCCTCAAAACTTCAATATTCCTTCAAATCACATAAAATTAATTCTTTAAAATCTTTTCACAAGTCTCCTATCAAATTCCACTCTTTAAGCAACTAAAGAACCTAGAGTCGCTCTAAATATATGATTTTATGCCTCAAGATTTGATTTTGATTTTGTTTCACAATTAGTCCTCTCTGGATATCAATTTTTGGTATTTTGAGGTAATTTTTGCTAAAAACTATTCTTAATTCTTTCTTTAAAATATTTTATATTAATTAGGTATTTTATTTATTTTTATTTGATTTATTTATGCTCTTATAAAGTAAATAGAAGCTTCTTCTATAAAAAGGTAGTATTATTATTTATTAATTTTTATTACCTCTTTATCTATTATCTATATTTATAAGATAATTTGCTAAAATATTTTCATATAAGCTCGTTGATAATAAAAATATTTCCTTTCTTCTTTCATCTAATAGCCATGTTATTACATGACATCACACTTAGAGTAATCTAAGTCTAGAATTAGATGTTGGAGTTGAGGTGCTACCTACATGCACACCTTATCTTTCTCTTCATCAATGTTATTGCAATCATACTTATATTCAATAGATGCTTTATTTCTAAAAAATCTTATAAAGGACCAAATTGACTCTTTCAAAGCTAATAATCTAATCTCTTTGAGATAATATTGAAAGTACAAAAAAACTACATTCAAGAGTATTGACTAGTGATAATTATACACTAAATTAATCTTCTTAGGATATTAAGATCTGGTAGGTTATATATAATGGTTGTGATGTACATTAGAGAGATTGAAGGAGAAAAGAGAGGAAAAATGAATTAAGTAATCTTCAAGCTTATAACATCCTTTCTTTGTGTTCTACATCCTTGCATGATTGTATTCTTTTACGTTTGAGATAGGAAAAAGATATATTATAGATAAAAGAATTGATAATTGATGAAATGTCCTAGTTGAGGAATAAAGAAACCTTTGTTAATTTTTAGGGTATTCATATTATTGAGCCGATGATAGAATTAGGAATAGAAACAATTTGAAATACCATTGGTTACTCTAGCAGGTATCCATAGTATTAAGGCTTCAAAACAAGGAGAGAATTGACTGATTGTATTGAGTTGGTATTTTGGTTCAAAGAAAGATCTACATCCAATACTTTCTTGCAACAATAGACTTTCTCCCAACCATTCTACTTAAATTCTAATGTTAGTCTTAAGTCATTATTGGAATAATGATTGCTGAAATAGACTATGTCTTGGCTTCAAGGACTTCTGCTACTCTTCTATCCTATCACCAAAGAGCCAAACAAGCCTACTAAAACTATTAGGTTTTGGTTTGCCACCAGCAAGGATGAACGGAGGTTGATATAATTTTTGTTAGGAGAAATTTGTGGTGGCATCTTTGCTTTAGTTGAGGCTGGAGCTTCCACATTCTCTTTTTAAGTTAAGTTGCCATTAGCCTCTAGGTTTTCTAGAGCCTTTAAAATCCTTGACTTGTACCTTGTTAATTCATTTGTGATAAAGAGCAATGTTCTTCAACCAATTTCAACTTCCATAGCCATTCAAAAGCATTGTTCCATAGTATGTTCATTTTGGCTCACTCCCTAATAGAATTCTAAATCTCCTAGCAATCTAAGACTCTAAATCTTCCAACAATTTAGGACACGACTTTTATGTATTTTTAGGGTATACCCTAAAGTGTCATCCACATTAGAATCCAAAGTCCTCTTAACCAGCTCAAGTCAAATCTGAACGTCCTTATTTGCAAAATGCAAGTATCCCACCTTGATTGATGCGATATTAGAATAAAGTAACTTTTATGTGGTAGTAGACTACAAGCTAAGCACTTGGAAGAAACCCCTGCTTAAGTTGTATCCTAACAGTACTGATGCCCCGCCATGTTCTTTAATTGATGCAATCCATTAGTTGGCACGTAGACTGCTTACCACCAACAAAGTATGCCACAATTGCATGTTTTTGCAGGTCTCTTGCTTGATGATTTCTTGATCAAGCTTGACCGCAAGCGCCGTGTTGTAAAGCAATAATCTCGTGTTGCTTTGGGTGTAGCATGTGGGTAGTGATTCTTGAACCGTCAAGATCATAGGATGAAATTTTGCGTGCTTTCCCATACTCGTGACTGCCACCACCAACTTCGGCTCAACAATATCCGCATTGTGGATTGCTTTGGAAAAATCATGAATATCTTTTGACTTCGTGGATTCTATGGGAGCATGTGCGAGTTTAGCCTTCATCGAATCTGCATAAGTGTACACCTGCTATTGCTAGGGAGCAAAGTTACCCTAGAAAATCCCAACACTAAAAACAATGATACTAATCGAAATGTTGTCCCACTCCTCCCTGGATCACAACCTTCACTGAGGGAAGGTATTATGATAGAAGCTACACCGAGTGTGTACACGCAGGGAAGAATTGAACCTAATTCGAACCTAATTGATCTGTAATCCGCCTCAAAGGTTTGCAGCGCAGATGAGCTGATGCCTCCGGAGCTTCATTGCGCCGCTCCCTTCTCCTTCCAAGTACTCCCTATCACTCTTTTGAAGCGCCTGATGTGAACTTTCATCTCGTTCCTGACACGTATATTCAACACCATAACTGATCCCGTGAAGTGGATAGATGTGACATGAGATTTTTCATGTTGCAAAAAATAGCTGTAATACGTAGTTCAAAACGGCGAGCATCTTGGTTGGATCTCTCACCTGTGTGCAATGACACAACTTGGTGTACGAAACCCCTTCAAGTCAATGCTTCTTGCTACGAAAGTGAGCCATGAGCTAATCAATTCTTGGGGTTTGACCTCCCCGTTGGATATTTTTCGGTTATTATTTTGAACATATTGAATCAAATGACGGACAACTTTACTTCTACTTGAACCTTTTAATTGATCTTTTTGAACGCACGCCACCCCGAGTAGAATGCAGCTATCAAAACAAAAATGTTGACAGCAAGAGAGTAACTTCATGATGTACATTTGTAAACAAATTCAAACCAGGGAATCAATAGTCATGATAGTAGTCCTGAAGGTTTCAGCAAAGATCAGGTCAAACTGCAAGCAGCTCGGATGTCGTCGGTCGATAAAATCCAAGCTTGGTTGCAACACTCGCCGATGCTTCCATTGATCACTGTGCATCCCAATTATTGAAGCAGTATCCGTCCTTGTAGTGACAGATTCTGTTGAAATGGAGGATTAGAGGGCTCAACAGTTAGTTCCTTCTCACAATGGCATGAACTGGCGCGAGTGGACATGGAAACTGCGCACTTCACCGTTCACCTCACAACTTTGCTCATAAATTCCTTAAATAAACATCTTCAGAGAAATAAATGTTATAACGCACAGCTCCATAGCTGTCAAAATAAAACACTAAAAGGATCATTTCTTCTTTTCAAGAGATAATACAGTTTCCGCATTGAATCAGCAGTGTGCTTAAAAAGTGCTGACAAATTCCTGACCATTTGGTCGTCTAGATATCCCTGCGATGACTGAAGCTCACACAGGTCTCTCTAACAGAGCATCTAAAAAACTCTGTCTGGGTAGTACTGACAAAACCAGAAACGTGATCGTGACCAGCATTCCTTTCCCTTCATTAAGCCCATTCGCTTGTCACATAATACTGAATTTCCCCATAAATCCATGTCCCAAAAGGACAGTACACGGGTTACTAAATCTCAAACCTACACCTACAGCTACCATTGTCTGCCTTTACACAGATTTACAGTTTTTCCCCAGGAGCGCCCACCATCTATTCCTGCATCTGTATGTTCAACGATGCAGGTTACAACCATTAATCCTTAACTGTATTATATACATCACAATCATCAAAAACTAAGAAACAGTTCTCACAGGCAACCACAATTACGTAGAACAATAAATGTGGAAACATACAGAACAAGTCACTTTCTACATAGAAAAAAAAAGAAAAAGAGAAAAAGAGGGGAAATAGAGCATTGATGGACGGACCTTTCTCTTAAGTAGATTCGAAAATGTAAGTAGGCGATCTAATAATGCTGTACCTGGTAATTGCCAGAAGTCATCATCTGCAGGCATAAAATCCGGTTCACAGATAAAGACTCTCGTAAAGACGAGATACTTTGGTGAAAAAACAGAAAGACCATTATTCAGAACTTAAACAGCCAACATTACTTGCTTGTGCTGATATTCATCAAACTAGGAACTTAAGTATTGATTTCTTAAAGAAACAGATGTGTCATAAAGAAGGAACAATTAAAATACCTAACTAACAGATCCCAGCTGTACAAAGTAAAAACTACAAGGATTCGAAAAACGTATGATTTCAGACTACAAAAATTAGATATAAAAAAAGAAAAAAAGAAAAAAGAAAACACGGGAAGAAGAGGATTATTGTGAGACAGGAATCCTGAAAGTTCCAGTACTAGAGAAACTGAACAAACCTGCGCTTGCATGTAGGGGTTGTAACCTCCTTGCTGTACCATCTAAACAGTTGCAAGAAACGGTTACCAAAATCGAAAAGTTGGATTTAAAACCAGCTGCAATTGCACTTGGCTAGCAATAGATAACAGATTCCTTCGAACATGCTTAAGACACGTTCCAAACCTTTATCCATTGCAATCACAAACGATCTGAGTTTTGAATTACCATACAGGTCCAAACCTATACTCCCAGCTAAAAATACGATAAAATGAAATAAAATAAAAAAACTAATCAAAGAACAGTCATTGAAAGCAGCCTACGATATCCAGTGCAAAACTAAGAAAAAGCAAGATTGTACATGGACATCCTTGGCATACTTGCAAACCACGCCTCGCAGAATATAAAACACGTAAAAACGTCGAAGAAAGGTCCAGACCTAAAACATCGTGAAAAAGAATACAGGCTCCTCGATAAGTAGCACTAGATCTGAAGACATATTAAGTGAGTGCAGCATTAGAATCTCACTTGCACACCAGGAGACACAATGTTACTTCCCTCCTTCTTGCCAGAGGATGATTCTCCAGCCTTGTTTGTCAAAGCACCCTGTTCCAACCAACAAAAGTTACAGGACATGTTAGTTATATAAATGGAGAATAGGTATAAGACTTTTTTAAACAAAACTCCGAAATTTCATGGCAGCAGCGAAATCAAATACAACATATTAACCAAAACAATATTATCAGACCATAGGAAAGTTAGACATCCATAACATACCAGCAAGACTCTCAAAGCACAATGAATGTAGGTTATCAATGAAGACCGAACATACCTCAATCTGGAATGAAACAGCCAAGTTGATCCACCACACATGTCAAAGGAAAATGAATCAATCCTCAAATTCATGATGCCGCGATGAACAGGAAACCACATGGAAAAATCAACCACTAGCGAAACAACATTGCTATAACACTGAAAGTTAACTCACGGAGGAATATGCCCAATCCTGACCTAATCACTCCCCAGAAAACCAACAGAGTTATCCTGTGACATGCAATGACGTGCAACATACTTGAGCATAGAGCACGTATTCTGAGATTCTTTAACCCTTTTAAAAAGACTCAAGGTGCAGGCAAATAACCGGAAACCTAATTTTCAAGAGGAAAACAGAGCATTTGAGAGATTCCTTAAATAGATAAAAACGAGAATACCTCTCTATACTTATGAAGATAAACTTTTAGCGGTTCGACGTAGTCTTCGAACCCTAATGTGCTCATAGCCCACAGTAAATCGTCTCCATTTATTGTCTTTCTCTTTTCGCGCTGACATTTGTCGCTAGCTCTGTGATATGTCAAGGAAAATGACAGACAAATGCCAAAGAACTTCCACCTCAACATCCTGTACGTGACCTAAGAATCCAATACACCTAGAACTAAGGTGACACGAAGATATTCAACCTCCGTTATGATGGGGCGAAATATCGTACATTCAAGCAAGATTTGGTTGAGGAACTAGACCGGACAATCGTTTCAGACATTAACAACATGAAGACTAGAGGTTGCATGAAAGAAAGCCAGCTGCCGATAAGAGGGAAATATTGAGGGTACACCTGTTCATTGCATGCTTGCGTACCATTGTATCGCCTTCCAACTCTAAATAAATAAATGAATTGGAGAATTAAAAAAATAAGGGAATCCGATTCTGTTTCCACGTGTGAATCCGAAGGAAGTAAAACATGACACAGATTCTGAAGACCTAAGCGAAGGGACAGGCCTACATACGCACTGTAAGCAACTAAACTCGTTGAAAAGATCTGCAGCGGAGAGATTGCACCACCATACCTGTAAAACGTCCTAAGAAAGGAGGAAGTAGAACTAAATGCCATTCAAAAGGAGAAATCGCATCATAAACATGGCTCCACATGAATGATAGCAAACTGCAAAAACATTTTCGCGGAAATGAAAGCATGGATCAACTACAAGATTAGCAGAGGTAAGATGAGGGCAGCGGGATCTATGCAAAAATGTCAGAATTATTTAGACGTTGTGAAAAACGGATACTCGCTAGTGATGAAACTGATGAATTCTGAAACACACTCCTGAACAGTCTCCTTCGCATCTTTGGCAATCTTAGCATTAGCAGGCAACGCCTTCTTCATGATGCGGCTAATGTTGGCAATTGGAAGAAAACGATCCTGCTCACGAACACTAGAGTTGTCCCTATCACCGCCCCCATGGTTACCCCCGTATTCATCCGAGTGCGGACTATCTTGACTACCAGGACTTCCAGCCTCCGCCATTAAATCTCAACTCCTACATCATCTCATCAAGACAAACCGCAAGTTAATCACAAAAAAATCGTCATCCATCCATTCAGCTCCGTTTCTACTCTCAGTGCAACCAACCCGGCAAAAAAGATCATTACCCTCTCGACATAATTTTCCCTGTATTTCAACGTCACAGACGCCGCCACTAAACTTTCTAGAAGCCTCCAACACTAAAACACTACGCATCGACACTCAGCCAAGCGAACCAACACAGCCTCATTCTCGTCAACCTAAATACTAATACACTAAATCACTCAGCAGGCAACTCGTCACCGCCTCTGGAACTCGTAAACGCAGCTAAACAAACCTCACATGCCGTGTCAAGTGACAAAAAGTTCACCTACGAGAGGATTTTGACGGTATCGCTGCTGCTGCTGGTGCTAGACTTGGTACCAAATACAGGCGATAAGCGGTCGGACTGCTCTACGAAACATACAAACTCACCTAAAGGGAAGGCCAAGACGAATGCCGTAGTTTGGAGAGAGGAGCCTGCCCAGCAAAGCGAGACGCCGATGAAGTAAAGGGGTAAGTATTCCCGGGAGGCAATGAAGAAGGGAGGGAGGGAGGAGGGAGGGGAGAGGGGGTCCGGTGTGGCGGAGAGAAGGGGAGGTCGAAGGGGAAGGAGAAGGGGACAACAACGTCTGCAGCGTATGTATGTGCTGTGCAGGGAGAGAGGGAGGAGGGTGAGATCGGTGCGAGGGGGGAGAGAGAGGGAGCGAGGGAGGGAGGCAAGGGTAGCACGGAGGCAAAGCAGGCAACAGGAGGGAGAGAGGGAGGCTGGTTTGGCAGAGGGACGACGCTGTGCGCTTTCCTCATTGGCACATCGCCGCCCTTTACCACTTGTCTCTCTCCTCAACTCCCTCCTCCGCCCCTTTCTCCCTCGGGCTTCTCTCTCCTCCCTGTGAACACTGTCGCAGTCGCCCTGCCGGACGGCCCACTGTTGACGACCGCGGCCAATAAAAAACTGGCCATCCAAAGGAATCTCCACAACGACGATTCGATGCAGTTCATTGCCGTCGCCGTTCGAAACTCCTGCCGTTGCTCACAGCCACGTCGCTCACCTCACATTCTCGTGCGTCAGGGCCAGTGGCTTGTCTCTAGTTCGAATTGAATAAAGAAAAAGTTACTTTGTCGCTTCCAAGGATCATGCCTCGTGTTAACACCCTATCCGGAACTCAGTTTCAGGCGGTTAGGGTTCTCCGGAAATTTCTGATCTTTGAAAATCTGCAGTGTACCGTGGTAAACTTTATCGAAAACAATGAAACCATTAAAAATAGAGAAAAGGCACATCAAATGTAAAAACTTAAACAAAACTTCTCGAAGTATTACAAGTGTGAGCGATGAATGTGGTAATTCATAATTTTTAGTTTTATGAATAATGTGTCGGGCTTTACAATTTCGACAAATATAAAAGGGACCCCAAATTATTCATCAGTTTCATGCACTAAAGTGGATGTGCAAATGTTATCCGAAAATAAAGAAGAAGGGCAAATGTGTCATTCATATCGATTAGACATAGTTTGATTTAATGAATGATTATGATTGTCCTCCACAGTGCTTCGTATTTCTTTTGCAACAACACGATCTAAATACTAAGGTATGGAAAAACAATTCTGAGCAAACACTGGACTTGTTATAGTGCGATTATTTAATGTGAATCTCAATTGATTCTCCAGTATAATAGTTGAGATCATTCAGAGCAGGAGGGTAAAAAATGTGCTCAAAGAGAGGTCCTGGCCAAAGCCTTTCTGATTCGTCGGCATCCTTGAGACCCTAGAAGAAACCTTTGTAAGCCCTAATGATTCTCGACACAACACCAAGGCTGAAGCCTACACGTCTTTGTGATGCTCCTCTACTACCTCTGTCTAGTTCCTATCAGTTCTCGCACTCGTATTCACTGTCTTACTATCCACACTCACGAGCTCTTGGACCTTTGATCTAAATGATCTAGTTCAGCACGGAGTCACCCGCATAATGTTGATAATCCCCGAGTCTGCAGCAACAAGACTAGAACGAAAGGGACTGAAAGTTCAAAATGCGATATATTTAAAAAGAACAACGGTCTAGTTCTTCTTGTACAGGAACGGAGTCCACCAGTCACCCTCGTATTTGGGGTAAGGGGCAATCCACTTTGCTGGTCGTTCAAACGTAACAGTGGTCAGCTTGCCTGTCAATGCTTCGTCTGCAGAATTCACAATAAGTTCTCCTTTCAGCACTCTGTCCAACCTCAGCTTCATGAACCTGAAATCGTCTCATCAGCGTATTTCGTGCGTTAGACAAAAAGAAATTTGGTGCAACGTGAAGTATCTATGAATCATCAAGTTGTTGACAAGGAGCAAAATATGGTATGATGAAAATGTGTGAAGACTAAGAACTCAAAAAACCTAATTTACAGTTTTGAAAGCTTTTGAGCGATGCAACTTGTGTCGAATGCGACATAATACACCATTTACAACAATCAACTAGGCAAGTGAACACTCACGTGATCCAAACTTTGTCAGTCGACACGAGTGCAACAGCCGGTCTGCCCACTCGCTTGGCAACCTCTGGTTGCTTGTCGAGGAACTCAGGTTCAAGCACTATCCAGAAATCTTGTTCCTTGTTACGCTCTCCGTACATACGCAACTTCTCTTGCATTTGCTCTTGGAAGTGCTCTTCATCATCCAACATAAACTTTGCATTCGCAACCAAGTAGAAGAAGGTAGTCTTCTGCATCAAGCAAATACAGCTGTGAGTGAAATCGGAGGATTGGCAATGTGAGTCTAAGATTACACCAGTCCAAATAGACGAGGTTTTAAAGTAGCAGCAAGCTGTTCACTCAACTCTAAATTTATTCATGATAAATCATATTGAATAGTTGAAGCATTTGCATTCATTCAATTCTTCGAGTCCGTCAAGCAAGGTCACCAACCTGCGAAGTAGCAGTAGCAGAAGTCCCATTTCTGCAAAACTAACACAGAGCACGGATTACTTGACTATGTTTAACGTTTACTCCTCCATTACATAATTCTCTAACTCACATAAAGGTGTTGAAGCGCATCAGTCCTCGAAAGTTGCGCAAGTTGTAACAAATGTCTAGTTTAAAAGCAAGGATGTAGCTAGTACTGAGCATAGGTAATTGGGTACAAAACTCAACGCCGAGCTAAAACAGATTCAATTAGCAGGCTCAGCATCTTCCAGGTCGTAATTCAATGGATGCGCTGATTTGCACTGTTAGACCCAACCTTCCATAGGCATATTTGAACTAATTAAGGAACTAGTTTCGGCACATTGTTTGAAACTAGATGCTTCGTGGTATAAAAGAAACCAAAAACCAAAAATACGCAAGAGAGCACGTACGATTCCAGCTCGTTATCCACAGCTTGCGCTCGAATTGGCTGGATTCTCCTCACTCCATCGTAACCACTCTGCCTACCACTGAATATCTGAATCTGCGCCACCAGCATTCAAGTGATGAGTGTCCATCGGGCAGACGTCATCTAAAAGACTCAGGATTCGTAGACACTAGTGCTGGTAACCATATCCGCAGAAATGATGACAAAACATGCCTCATTGCAGAATTCATAAATCTAACTGGGACAAAAGGCCTCATTCGTCGTAAAGCGTTGGACCTGTTAAAACCTGAGTAATATAGAAGAACCAATAATTGTCGCACATCGAGCACGAGGTTTCAAAAATTGCACACAATTGCACAACTAAGAAAAATTGAGGAGAAGGAAAATTTGGAGAAAGAGGTGCTCTGAAGTCAGATCATTAATACCAACTATGCTTAGAATGCAGAATACTTCATAAACATTCGCAAATACGTCAGACCATACCAAGAAATGAGAGATGAAGGGAGATCTCCTTCAAGAAATTGGAGTGCGCACCTTATTTACGGACTCATTGAGAGTGAGAGCGCGTGGCGAGAGCCTCACGTGCTCAATGGAGGCTCTCGGCGACAAGCTGCTGGTGGAAGCCCTGGATCCGGCCTCGCAAACGTGCAGACCAGGCGAATCTGCCGCGACCGCTGCTACTCTTGTGCACGCCATAGCGCTGTCAACCTTGATAGAGCTCAAATGCTGACACAGCGCTTCCCCTTGAGCTGGACCTGGTGGCTATGGCGATAAGAGCGATGCGAGGTTGCGAGAAAATGCTAAGCTAACAAAATACTGGGAGATGGACGAAGATAAGGTAATCCCATTCTGTATCTCGTTCCCAGTCAGATATGACATCCCATTCGTGACTGGATACGGTGATGACAGGTTGGGAACTCCCAGGGGAACGTCTGACGTGGAATTTTACTTGCCAGCCCTGCTCATCGTTTTCCCATTCATCCAAGAACCCTTCCTCTAATTCTTCTTCTTCTTCTTGTTGTTGTTGCCAGATGGATCCGCTAATTCTTGCATTAACATACATAAGGGACTTAGTATAAGAATGCCAAAAACTTTTACCTAATTAATTAATTTATTGATTGAAAATAACAATTGAGTTTCCCTATGTTTCACATTAGTACATAGTAAAGATGACAAAAATATTATTAATAATAAGATTTTAGATGTTATAAAATAATTTAGGATTAAAATAATAATAATAAATTTAAGATATTTTAAGATAGGCGATTTCCAAGTCTATTATATTATATTTTTTATTTTAAAATAATTTATGTCTTTTCTTCTTTATATATATACATATATAAAGAAGAAAAAAAAGTGATTGCAATAGAATGAATAAATAAAGATAAAAAAGAACAATCAAGTCTTTTCATTTGTCACAAGTTTGGATATACATTACATAAATATTGTATAGATTCTATCTAAAGTTTTAATAGACTTTTAAAAGAGTTTGTATGGATTTTGCTAAAAAAACTTTATGATATTAATTTTATATAAAATCCACCAAAGTTTTTCATGTAATTCAAAAAAAGAATATTTTTTTTATCTTTAAAGTTAAATATTTTCTCAAAAAAATAACAAGAAAAAAATTCTTATTATACATTGAATCTTTGATTCTAATTATATGGTATTAGTAAATTTTTTTTATTGAATCTTATTAAAATAATATTTATTATAATATAAAATATTTAAAGATATTTTATTAAAAGAAAAAATAAATTATATATAAAAATAATTAGATATAAGATTTTTATTTTTTTATTTTCTTAAATATTACTAATTCATCAATGTATTATTGAGCATATAAATCACAAAAATCCAAAGAATTAATACATTCTTATGTCATTGGAAAAAAAGAATAATCGCTCAAAGATTGTATAGTATTAATATTAAAATAGCTATTGCTAAAGATAAGAAAACTAAAGACTTTTGAAACAAGATTAAAAACAAGAAAGATATTAATAAGAATAAAAAATAATTTATTCTTATTTCTAAATATATCATCTAATTGGAAGCCACATAATGACATTATATAAGACCTTCAACATATATCTAACTTACAAGACAAGTCTCATATTTGTGCCACATGACAAACTTCTATTACAAGTGATTAATATATGCAATACATGGTGAACTTTTTGGCTAAGTTTTCAACCTATTAATCACCTATAGATACGTTTAATGTCAAATCCATATTTGTAAATCTAATAAGTTACTTTTCTACAAAATATTATCAAATTTACTCACTTATATTTATTTCTATCTAATTCCTCTAAATCTAAATAAATATGTATATTTGTGATATATCCTCTCTTTTAAAGATGAGTTCTATGATGAACAATGATCACATCTTGAAAAAATCTAATTTTTTGAAAATTAAATTTTATACATATTTTAATCTTAGTTCTCTTTAAAGATAGTTGATAGGTCTTCTTTTGAACTAAAATAAATTCCTTCTAGTTAGGAATCTTATCCAATTCATAAAATTTTTAATTATCTAAGGATTTAAACAAAAATCCTATTAACACTTGATTTATGTCTAGTACTTCCAAAAATTCTTCCATTAAGAATTAAAAAAAAATCCTCTTATTTCTTATTTAAAAATCATTAAGCTTCTTAATTGATCAAATGATATACTCTTACATTCATAATACTATAATAAAACCACTAAAATAATTCAAAAGACTACACACTTAAAAAAATCTTTATAAAAAAATTACTTTTATTTTTGTAGTATTAATTATTATCCAAATTTCAAACTTTATCTAAGAATATTTTTTCATCTATAAATAAATTTTTATCTAATAATGATTTTTTAAATCTATAAATGAGTTTTTATTTAAGGATGATTTCTCATCTATAAATGAGTTTTCATCCAAGAATAATTTTTCATTTGCAAATAAAAATTCATCTATATAAAATAAATTTTTATTTATCAAAATTCATCTAATTTGATCTAATTTCATACAATGTTTCATCTAATGGGATACAACTTTATTGTCAATTTTTATCCAAATTATTTATCTATAATATCTAATTAATGGACTTAGAATATCATCGAAATAAGAACCAAAGTTGTTTGGCACTTCTAAACCTATTAATGCATCTACCTTCACAATTTAATATACCATGGCTAATCACAATTGAATCTAATTAGTCTTATTAAAAAGAATACCTGAAGGTACATCCACTTTCCAAATTTTTCCTTCAAATTCAATTGTCTGACTCAAATATCCCCTTTAAAGTTGATACTTTAATTTAGCAAGATAACAGACTCTCTTCTACAAAATTGAGCCACAGCTTGGTCCTTGATTTTTTTTTAGTAAATCTAAGATTTTTTAATTCCTACCTCTAAAAAGTACTTTTTTTCAAAATTTGAGTCCTTGAACTACTTCAATCTCATTAATTTTGTCTTTTAAAGTTGTGCCTTTACTTGGCGACTTGAACTTAGAGGTAGTAGATCCTTTGCCATAAAAATCAACACTCCTACCATGCCTTGGCTCCAATATGATTGATTCTTAGTTTTTTAGAAACTACACTTCATCAAATTTATAATAAAATAATTCTTGTTGCTTTAAAGTTTGAGAGTAATGAAAAAGAGCCTTTCAAAATAGACCTACTAAATTATGAAGGCATAATACCATCCTTCACTAAATTAGAGGTTTTTCTTTATATAAACTCCAAATTCTAAGATTTTTATGTTTAGAGTATCACAAAAAAAAAATTCCTTCTTTTATTTAAAAATTTCAAAAATTGATTCTAAAAACTAAAAGAAGAAAAATTGGAACAACCAAAAAGCTTATAAAACCTAGAAAAAAATTGGCATGACTTTGTCCATCAAAAAAAAAAAAAAAAAAAAAAAAGAGCTTGGCCGTCCAATCTTTTTATATAAGTACTTGAAGTCCTAAGAATGGGAGACAAAACTCTACAATTGAAATTCTATGAATTTAATCAAGATCTACAATTCACAAGGCCTTCCAAATCTAATCTTGATTTTGAAATTGGAAGCTCTTATAACTATCTAATAGATATATTTTTGATAGAACTAATGCCACCATTGTATTTAAAGTTTAATTTTACTTCAGATCGCCTCTTTATTTGCTCAAATATATGCTAAAACTTAATACTTATGTAATTTAAAAGAATTATGATCTAAAGCTAATTGACTATTAAAATGCTAGAAATTTGCCACTAAATGGTGTTATAATTTTATCAAAGAACTTGCGGAAGTTTTACCACCAGATTAATCTTAATTTTTTTTAAAGGATCATGGGATAAAAAAATTATAATTTTACTAATCTTTAGAGATTCTAGTAATTCTAAGAACTTAAAAGAATAATAAAAATCAATTTTTTTTTTCAAAAATACAAGCTTGAACCTATCCAATTGAATAAAAAAGAAAAAAAGAAAGAAAAAAAGAAAGTATTAATAGAAATAAATATAATAGCTAAAAACTAAAAATTATTACTAATGTAGTTCTTCTCTTATGAGAAAATATTTAATTTTAAGCCTTTAGGACTTACATATCTTTTAAGATATTATAATTGCAAATTTCTTGTGCAAACATTAGTTTTTCTTCATTTAAAATCTTCTAAAGTAATCTTTATCTAATAGTTGTAATTTGGCATTCTAAATGCATCTTTATGTTCTAAAAAAACCAATGAGTTGATTTAATGATTTACACTTTTTAGCCATTGATAGTCTCTCAAATTAATAAAAAAAGATCAACATGATATTTGATCATTGTTTAGGCTTTTATAACTCTTAAATAAAACATTTGAAATGCCATAAAAAATATTTCTTATCTCTAATAATATTACTTAACATTAAAACTCTCTTCTAAGGTCATAATATCAAATTTATTATAATTTATAATCTCTTTAAGGTAAAATATATCATTCTTAAAGATCTTTAGCTCTATTATGTTGTCTTGAAGGTTGTGAAAATTTCAATGCATCATCCAATAATTCAAAAAATAATAATTTTAAAGTTGAATCAATTGATTGCTGATTCTCTATCTTCTTAATCCCACAAATACTTAAAATTAAATAAAAGATAGGAGATAAAATGTAATTTTTATTTAATAGTCTTTTTTATAGCAAAAAATTAATTAACTTTTTATCTTGATTTTGATGGATGTTGACAATAAAAAAACATCAACCTTCTTTGATGTATTTTTATGATTCTTAGATGGTTTCTATAAACATTCATCAATATCATATTTATACTAATATACAAGATATTCCAACCTATTTTGATGTTGCTTAGAATCTAGTGCTTTTTCAACCTCAATTTCTTTACTGTTGTTTATTTTTGTACAAAGATGTAGCATTTGTCAATTATTTGGTATATCTATTTTTTTGTATGATTCAAGAAAAAATATATAAAATATAGGTTGAATCTTTAAAGATTCTTATAGTTATAATCAATATATAGTTTGTAAAACAAGATTATATTATCTAAGGTCTAAAACCTTACCAATTTCATAACAACAAAGAACTTGATATAACATAAGAACATGCACACCAAAACAAAATTGAAAGTAATTAAAAGGAATGGAACCTAAAAGACAAGATTAAGTAAAAGAAAATAAAATCAAAGAAAATCAAACAGAAAAAAATAAGAAAAAACAACCAAACTTTATTGAGAACAAGAATTCAAAGCCATACCTGATTGAATGCTCAAATGGCCTCAATTAGTCCTATTTATACTTTGTTCAACTATCCTTGGAACTTTCTAGAATACCTTTAATGGTGGATCTTACAAAGTTAACTGCTCT